TGAGATCACCATTGGTAGCGCGATTTATTGTAATGCTTTTTTCCTCAGTTGGTCAGAAAAAATGTGGCAGGCTTGTTACTTACTTGTTCAGATGACAATTTAAGGTGAAAATTCTTATTTGGGTCATATATTCCAAGACGTAGGCTAAAATCTGTGATTGCGAAGTACAGTAAATATCCACACACTGGTGCGGTGACTGCGCATCATTACGTAACGTCTGTAAACAAAGAAGTTGTTCTGGCTACTAGGCTATCGTATGTGAGGATCCTGCAGGTGGCGGATCGTTTATAGCCTTTTCTCACAGCAGCTAGAATAATTAAATGTATCATTTTAATGGCGGCTTGTAATCCAGAAGGGATTATGTGTTTATGAAATACATGTGACTAAATTATATTCCAGTTTTAAATGTGCATCTGATTACAGATAGCCTGGGATTACACAAGTTTTTGTATTTTAAAGAGAACCAGTTCGAGGAGAATAATTGGCTTTTTGGAAAATATCCACACCGGTGCGGTGACTGACTGCCACACACACACTCCTCAAAACATTAGATTCAGCCGCGCTGGAGCCGTGCCGGCGCACAACCCACGCATGGATAATTCCGCAAACAGCTGCAATTGCAGGTTTTCAAACAGAGATGGCAACAAAGAGGCAAAACTTACGGCCTGCAGCTTTAAGTACTGAAAACAATATATAAAATGTTAAAATTTAAATGGAACTATGTCCATAACTGTAGAATTATAGCTCAGCCCTGGAGTGCACATAATGAGGGCTCCTATAAGCATGAGCCAATTATGACTAGGCTGGGGACTACATAACAAGACCTGGAGGGCAGGGACATCCAAGTTATAAAACCTGGTGAAGGTGGACGACAAGCTATAGCTGGCAGCCGCACAGATATCACCATTGGAAACTCCGCTGGACCAAGCCCAGGAGGAGGCCATTCCACTAGTGACCTAGTGGACTAGTATAAGTCCCATGTTGGCACAGTATGAGGACGAGGCGGATTCGATCTCTTAATGTCTGAGGACATTGTTGGAGCACAGGCTCAGACTTGGGCTGAGGCTGGGCCAGAGACAAAGCCAGTTTTGCAGTCTGCTGGGAGGATGGAGCCTTCTGGGTACTTGGACCAGCTGCCGAGCTGGAGTGCTTTAGTAGGAAGTGACGCATGGCTTGTGATAACTTCTGTGCTGCAGTGAAACACTTGACAAATCCATCCATGGCAGGGCCGAACAGTCCCTTGGGGGAAATAGGGGAGTCCAGGAAGGCGACCTTGTTAGCATCCTTGATCTCCATTAGATTCAACCCAAGGTGGCACTTCAGAACCACCAGGTTGGCCATGGCCTTGTCGATCGCCTGAGCAGTGGTCTTTGTAGCGCACAGAGTCAGGTCAGTCACTGTGCACAGGTCCTTAAAGGGTTAGTTCACCCAAAAATTAAAATTCTGTCAATAATTCCTCACCCTCATGTCGTTTCAAACCCGTAAGACCTTCGTTCATCTTTGGGACACAAATTTGTGTCATGATACTCTCGATAATGGTGGAAGACGGTAACTCAGGGGAGAAGAATTGTTGAATAAAGTTTTTTCTTTGTGCACAAAAAGTTTTCTTCGTAAAATTACAGTTGAACCACTGATGTCACATGGACTATTTTACCGTCCTTACTGCGTTTTTGTGCCTGGGAACATTTCAGTTACATTTCTGTCTATGCTGGGTCAGAAAGCTATCGGATTTCATCAAAACAATCTTAATTTGTGTTACAAAGATGAACGGTCTTACAGGTTTGGAACGACATGAGGGTGAGTAATTAATGACAGAATTTTCATTTTTGGTATCAGAACTCAGGCCAGACCTGTCCATCGTGCAGAGAAGTTAGGCCTGGAAAAATTGGCACCGCCATTGTATAGATCCCTGCCCACTAGAGGGGAGGTGGTCCTGCAGGGCTTGGATGGATGCACTGCATGGGCCTTCAATCCTAGGGTCAATGGAGGGCAGAGATGCACAGTAACTGCCTCTATTAGAGGGAGGATCTTGCCATCCATAACCCTTTTCTTCAGTGTGAAGGAATGACCGCATGCCAAGCAGGGGGTGCGCCACGTCCTGATGAGTTTGTCGTGAACCTCCAGGAAGAATGGGGCTGGCCTTTGACGGAGGATCGTTGACAGCCTCCTGTCTGCAGGTACCACTTGTCTAAGCGGCTGCGGGCAGAGCTTTTCAGGAGCTGACCAGTCCAAGCTGAGATCCTCCACGGCTTTCGTGAGGATGCGAATCAGCTCGCTGTCCACGCTGGCCCGTGCTGAATCTGTGGGAGGAAGGGTGCCAGGATCCTCACCAGAACACGCC